TTTTAAAATTTGAACACGAATTACACTGCTACTAATATTCGTGCCTCACCGTTTGGAAAACGCTGTTGTAGGTAGTAAATGTGAAGGGGTTTCCATTAGGAGAATCATTACTAGAAGAAGACGTTTTCAATTTCATGAAAAATTGATGCTCCAAAAAACAGTGTTTTCAAATTTTAGTGAATTTAATTCATTTGTATTGTTATTAATCAAATAGATATAATTTCATTAGTTTTTTATTGTTATTGATTAAACTGTGAATTATAAACTTAAAATTATAGGCAACGGAATGTATATAAAAGTAAAAATTATTATGTTTAATTAATCATTCGAAAAAGTTGTTGAGCGATGTGTGCATCTGCCCGAACAGATCCTTGACTTTGTCGAAGATCCTGTTGAAGAACTGCACGTCGACGTTTCCATCGTCTATGCTTAAACGCGTTCTCAACGGCCTCTTTATGATTTCGATGACCTCCATGTCGTCCTCTTCGTAGATCGTCGTCTCTTCGCCATCTTCATCGTTGCCAACGGTGACTGTCGTTTCCGTTGTCGTTGTTAAATCCGTTGCTAGGCAAGTGAAAGCTTCGACGCCCTTATCGTTGTTTTCCGTGTGTATCTTGATGTCTGTGCTGCCGTTCTTTTGTTTTAAAGAAATGGCGTCCTTGGTGGGCAAGGTGAGGCTGTATTCGCCGCTCTTCGCCTCATCCAAATCCGCCTCCTTCTTGATGTAATTCACGAACCCGTCAATGGTGTTCTCCAAAGAATCGTAACCCCCGGCTCCTCTGGGTAATCTCTTGTTGACTCTGATCCTATTCCTTCCCATCGGTATATCCTTCTCCTCCAGGTTTTCGTAATGCATTGACGTCGGTTTCTTTGGTTTCGGCAGCAAAAGGATATCCTCGTCGCGCCATTCTCGCATATTCTTCAATTTCGATTCGTAACTCTTGTGCAGAGTGTTTGAAAAGTTTGCTTTCGACGATGGTATGTAAACGTCGTTGGCACGTCTGAATCTTGCGGGCATATCCAACTTTGGTAATCTACTCTGCAACTCTTCCAGCTTCTTCTTGTGCGCCAGACGATTTTTCAAGAATCGCACTTGATGATCTTGCAGAACTGCTGGAGATGGTTTAGTAACAGCAGAAGCATCTTTGTTGATTTTGTTTAAATTGGAGCGTAGCAGAGTGCTAGGTGGTAAAAGGGACTTGAAGAAGTCGCCTCCGGAGAGCCTCTTCAACGCATCCTGTCGCTTCCTCTCCCTTATCGAATTCCTCATATGCTGAATGTTTCCCTTCATCAGCTTCGTGTAAAAATCCACATCTTCCTCCGTGTATCTGGAAACGTCGCGTCTGTACCTTCCGAAGTTCGATTCGTAAGATTCGTCCGCGTTGAAGAAGTTCTCCAACTTCTTGATGGCCCTGTCCACCTCATCTTTGTTATCCTAAAAACATCATCAAATCAATGAACATTATTAATCAAAATTAACATTTTTTCACTTACGTAATTGTTGATGAGGAATTCGCTTGCCAGAAGATCGTCCTTGTAACCGTTTTTGCCCTTGACCACGGAGACGTCGTCACCGAACGCTTCGTGGAAGCCGTGGTACGAGTTGAGCGCATCCTCGAGTTCGTCCAAATCTTCAAGTTTATCCTCAGACTTATCCTCCTTGACGTAATCCACGAAATTCTTCTTTTTGGGCGTCTTCGTTGTGGTAAGCGGTTTCTGCTGGAAAATGGGTAAATTCGAAAGGGATATCTTCGAGAAGGTCTGCGGTTCCAATCCGAACAGATCAGAGCTTTTCGAAAATAAATCTCCGCTGCCTTTGGCTTTAGGAGAGTCGAAAAACAGTTCAGGTTTCGATTTTCCAAATAGTTCGGGTTTCGAATCGAAAACGAACAAATCTTTTTTGTTGTCCAAAGAGAACAGATCTTTGATGCTTGTCGTTTCTTTGGTGAATGGTTTCATGGGAAGACCTGGTAACACTTTTTTCATATCAGGAAGATCGTCTTTGTCTTCATCTTCGACGGAAGCGAAACCGGCAAAGATTTTAGTTGGTTTCTTTTCTCTTTCATCATCAATGTTATCATCTTCGTATTCTTCGGACGAAGAAGCTCCGGCTTTCCTAATCGTGGCCTCCTTTTTATCGTAGTTGAATTTACTCTTCATTTTGATGTCCTTCTTATCGTTGTTTCCAGTTTTCAAATTGAGCAGTGCCATGTTTATGTCCCTTCTGGGTCTCTTCCTGCGGGAACGTCTACCACCTCCACGACCTCGACCTCCGCGCGCGCTTCTTTTCGCTCGAATCTTACTCTTGACCTTCTCCAAAAGTTCATCGAAATCCGGACTGTTGAAACCCATTCGAGCTTTTGCTCTGTCGCTCAGAACCCTCAAGATTTCCGAGCTGCTCAAATCGATGTCTTTCGTCTTCGACGATTCTTCCTTCCTCAAAAGATTCTTCAGATCCAACTTAGTCACATCCATCTTATTCAAATCCAACTTCTTCAGATTATTGACATTCTTCAAATCTAATTTGTTCAGCATCAGTTTTCCTCCCTCGTCAGTTTTCGCTTTGCTCTCTTTCACTCTCTCCAACAGAGATTGCTTCCAATCGTCGGATTTGATGAATGGTTTCAGTTGGATTCTTTTATAGTATTTCTCGTCCTCTTCAATTTCCTCCTCGATTCGATGGTAAAGATCGGAAAGTTTGGCGATCGGTTTACCCGTGTTTATTCTCGAGAAGATCGACTCGGACGATTTTTCTTCTTCTTCGGGAAAATCGATTCCCTGCGCGTTGTCCATCTCCTCCAGGATCAAACTGGTTTCGTCCTCCTCTTCGACGCAAACGGGGATCCTCGCACCCGGCAAAACGAAGAATCCGATGGATTTTCCCGGAATCGTGAGTGAAAGATGCGTCATGGCTTTGGCTCTCCTCAACTTCGGTTTGAAATCGAAACGGTTTTGCGTTAGATTCTGCATGGAAATCACTTCGCCGTTCAGCAAAGTTTCCCTGTGAATGAATGAAATTAATATTTTAGCTTTCAATGTTTGATGATCAGATTTACATTGAATCTTCGCTGGGAGATGTCAAGATGTAAGAGCGCACTTCCAAGTTCTTCATCTGTGTTCCGGCGACCAGAAGAGACGAAGTGTGCTCTTGCGTTTGGTTGTTGACCATCATCACCGTCATCGCTCCCCTCACCGAGTAACTGTTCTGGTTACGTGAGCAGTGCGCGTACACGTGAGCTTTGGATGGAGTCAAAGAAGTTTGTTTCACTTCCAGGACGTTCCTGCCCATCAAATGTTTGTGCAAAATGGAAATCCAATAAGCCTACAACAACGCAATAATTAAACTGCATCCAAGTTTAGTGGTTTAGTGTGATTTACTGGAGTGTCGGAGAAGAGTTCTTGTAATCTGGGCTGCCTGAAGATCACGCTGAAACCGTTTTTGGCCGCTTCACCGATCTGCACTCCCCAATCCAAAGCGGAATCGAAAGAGACGATCGGTCCGCTTTTCGGTGCAGAAATCCAAACTTCAGGATGTTTCGAATATCTCGTCGATAGTAGACGATGCATAGCATCTCTACCCACCACCTCTCTGCAATCCAAGAATCAAATGCAATCAATTTCTCGAATGTTGAATTTATTTCTGAACTTACGGTTCCCACATGACCGCATCCGCTTGCAGTTCGTCGAGTTGCCTTTCCGTCACGCTTGGAAACTCGCTCAAATCGCTTCCCACCGTTTTCCAAGTGCCTTTGCTACCAGGAAACGCGTCCAAAATATGTCTCAGTGTCTTCAGGTCATCTCTGTAACCGTTCTGCGTTTTATCCCTTGCGTCTAAACAAAGAAGTTTGTTATAATTGGTAAAATTGTCTTCGAGTTTCTGTTACCGTAGCCCAACTGCCAGTAACAGTTCACATTCATCTTGGAGCTTATCTCGAGAAGAGAGAGCGTCGACTTCGGATCCCAATCCTCGTTGATTCGTTCTGCGTCGTTTATAGCGTAAACCGGGGTGAAATTTGCCGCTCTCACCCATTCGTTCAGAGCCCACCATTTCGTCGGACCAAAGACTATGTTCCTTGTACTCTCCGTGATAACGTCCGTCGCTTTAGAATCGTCCTCGCTGTAGCTCAGGAAGGACGTGGATGGTCCGGCTATACGAAGGTAGATTGGTGATAGACTCGTCGCCAATTTCAGCGAAGTTGAACTGAAATGGAAATTGATCAAGATTGGAAAGAATGAAACCTCAAGGACGCACCTCAATTTGATTCCGCTGAAGAGGATCGCAGGATCCACGGAGACACTTATGAACTTGTCGTCGACTTTGTGCAGAGATTTCTTGCCGTTGACGATGCTCTGGCTTTCGTCGCTCGAACTTGCGGGTATCCTGAAGAGCAGGAAAAGTCCGAAAAGCAGAATGTAAGTTGGACTCTTCTTCATCGTTGCTCGCTGATTGACGATGAACGAACGAACGACATTCGATGAAACAAGTCTTCGATATTATTATTTTTTTTACATTTGCAGCGCTCAGCGAATTCGCTATTTTCGTTCGTCGTTTGTTTACCGGTTGGGAAATTCGTAGGCAAGCGTAAAAGAAACAATTTCCACGGCATCATCAGAAATTTGCACCAAATAACTGGATCACTTTCAACGTAGGTCACCTACGCACTTTGAAACTGGGTTAATAAATTTAGTCATTACGCTTAATCGATCCGCAATTTAGCAATTACAAAGTACTTCTGAAATCGGTTATATCATCTTGCATCATACCATTAAAGAGTATCAAGATCAATTTAGGGACGTATTTATTGTTCAATCCATTTAAAATTTAATCATTTAAACGAATATTTAACATTAATTAATATATCAAAAGACGCACAATTCTAGACATTTTTAACAAATTATAAAGAAATTTCTGAAGTTTATCAAGGAATTTGAATAAGTAAATGAAAATAGTTTGGTTTTACGTAAATATATATATATTATATAATTATATTATATAGAATAATACAATTATCGGTAATTTTGTATAGTTTGTAATGGTTTATTTCATTCCCTCTCAACACGAACAGCATTATTTTCTCTATTTATTTTTTTTTGTAAATAACAATTTCGTAATCTAAAGCGCAATTCCTTCATTCCTTCCATACATATTTGTATGTGTTTATTGTATATAATACATATCTTCGTCCGCAAATTTAAAAAAAACAAACAAATCCATTCGTTTACTACACATCCCTCCTTTCATTCATTTTTAGGCCTTACGATTCAAAATTTCCGTATGATGAGCAAATTTTGGTCCTAAAAAAAAACAATTGTCAAGAACAAATCTTTGGTATCCAACGTCACCATCAGACATATATTGTTTCGCTTATTGTCGTTGCTACGACACGGGTCCAAATATATTTTGTTTTCTCTTCTGTATCCTTAATTAGTTTTGTTTTTGTATATAAATATAGTATGAAGTGTAGTTTCCTGTGGCTTTGGTAAATATATGAAACATTGAGTTGTGTGTGTGCGAATCGATAGACAGAAATAGAGACAGACAAGACAATAGACATAAATTAGCTTTTTTTTTGTTGTTTGTTTGTTTGTTAGTGCCATTCAAACAGAGGACGTTGGCCCCTTCAAATGATCACGCAATTCTCCATCTTCTTCTTGATCTGTCTGAACTTGCGCCTCTTCTTGTCCTTAGTGGCTGCCTCATTTCGGACAATTCTCACCACCTTAAATTTGTCAACAGGTTATATTAATATAATGATGAGTTTGTTTGTTTTCTTTTTACCTCGTGGAAAGTGGCGTCAATGTTAAGTGGTGGATCTTTGGCACTTGTCTCGATGTAAGGTATGCCCAATTTGTGGGCAAGTTCTCTTCCCTGCTCCTCAGTCACCTTGCGCAGATGTACCAGATCCACTTTGTTGGCCACCAAGAGCATTGGATAAACATCCCTTGAAAACGAATCTGATAATGCATCAACTAGTACACACATGCATAGAGATGAACCAACCTGTCTTTGACTCTCAATATCTGGGTGTGGAAATGTGGTATGTGCTCGTAGCTGTTCTTATCAGTGACGGAGTAGACCAGAAGGAAACCATCACCTTTTCTCATGTACTGTTCCCTCATGGCGCTGAACTCCTCCTGTCCGGCAGTGTCCAGCACTAAAAGTAGTAGTGATAACATAAGAATACAGTCAACGCTATCAATATAACCATTACCATCCAAGATGCACCATTGACCATCGACGTCCACATGCTGCAAATAACTGTCCTCTATGGTTGGATCGTAGTCGGTGACGAAGAGCTTCTGGAAGAACTGAATGGTGATGGCACTTTTACCAACACCACCATCACCGACGACCACCAGTTTGACGGTCGGAAGATTATCGTTCGGAGGTTTCGTCATTTCGTGATGATGCTGTGGACGAGGATGGACCAAGACGACGACGACGACGGCTCGATCGAACAACAACACCCAATTAATCGAAGCAGGCGCGTAACGATGAAAACACCAGTAGATATCGATCAGTCACCTGACAGCTGGCTGCGTTGGTTGACACTGACAGTTGAGAGGTGAGTACACACCTAGCAGTAAAAGTGACACTAAAACGAAGGAAAAGACGGAAAACGAAAATAAAAACAATGACCAGGAACAATAATATTTCTATTAAAACGATTATGCATAAAGAAAATATCATAATTAGTAAAACAAACAGAAAATTAATATTACAATTGCGTTATCTATCATCCAGTAAACTATCATTCAGTGTTGTCAGTTATTTGTTAATTTCTCCACAACCGCTACTAGCACCTACATCAACGACCATTCGAATGAAAGCTGAATGTCTCACCTTTCCAACGAGCCTACATACAGCTTTGGACTGTCATCGAGTCGCCTGCTATGAGCTGTAGAAAATGAACAACATAAAAACGACAATTTTTTTATCAATGTTGTCAGTTATTCGTTAATTTCTCGACAACCGCTACTAGCACCTACATCATCGACCACTCGAATGAAAGCTGAATGTCTCACCTTTCCAACGAGCCTACATACAGCTTGGTACTGTCACCGAGTCGCCTGCTATGAGCTGTAGAAAACGAACAACATAAAAACGACCATTTTTTTTATCAATGTTGTCAGTTATTCGTTAATTTCTCGACAACCGCTACTAGCACCTACATCATCGACCACTCGAATGAAAGCTGAATGTCTCACCTTTCCAACGAGCCTACATACAGCTTGCTACTGTCATCGAGTCGCCTGCTATGAGCTGTAGAAAATGAACAACATAAAAACGACCATTTTTTATCAATGTTGTCAGTAATTCGTTAATTTCTCGACAACCGCTACTAGCACCTACATCAACGACCATTCGAATGAAAGCTGAATGTCTCACCTTTCCAACGAGCCTACATACAGCTTTGGACTGTCATCGAGTCGCCTGCTATGAGCTGTAGAAAATGAACAACATAAAAACGACCTTTTTTTTATCAATGTTGTCAGTTATTCGTTAATTTCTCGACAACCGCTACTAAGACANCTACATCATCGAATATACAAATGAAAGCTGAAATTCTCACCTTTCCAACGAGCCTACATACAGCTTGGTACTGTTATCGAGTCGCCTGCTATAAGCTGTAGAAATTAT